ATATAATTAGCGATAACAATTTAAACTTTTCTAGTGTACAGTCTGCCTTTTATGCTTGCTGGTTTTCTGTGCTTATTGCTGGTGGAAGAATGCAGTTTAATTTTTTCCCTAGCTAGTGTCGCCTATCCCATGTAACAAGCTAAATATCTTTTTCTAACATCTAAACAGCTGTATGAAAAATGTTTATATTCTGAATTAAGTTTGCATATTTATTTGAAATGTTTTTGAGAATTTTGTGATGTTTTAAGCTTTATATTCAGTAGCTGCATAATTTTTGGCATGGAATTAACATTTTGATTAGTTGCTTTTTGTTTCAGTTCTTTTAAAATCCTACATCATTGTTGCCAAAGTATTTCATTTCTTCAGCTTTAGAAATGCAAAGGTAGATAGTGATTTTTAAATGACAGTTATGACTAACAGTTGAAAATGTTGCACAAAATTTAGATATGTAGTTTTACGATTCTTGTAGATTCTTCATTAGATTCTTCATTTTGTAGAGAAGCAATCTACAACACAAGTTAGAGGCTTGCTTCCTTTGTGTGTCTGTCATAAGGTTGTATAATACAGCAGATTTGGAAAAGTTCTTCCATCATTGCATCAAAATCATTTGGAGATGAAGCATAGCTGACAGTTCAAGAAAGGTTCTTTCTAACTCCGTTTAGAAATAAGGGTGTGTGTGTGTGTGTTACAATTAAGTGTTTGAATGGAAGTCAGCAACCAAGGTGTTGGCAACTGAATCTGGCTTGCTAGGTTGAATTACCTGCCTACTTTGGATCAAAAGTGGTTTTGGGTATCATGCTTCTGACATGACAACTCTCTTAAAATGGCTGTTATGTAGAAGAGGGGGCAGAACTCTTCAGAGTTGTTCCAGAACACAGATCAAAAGTTGTGTGTAAGTGGGTGGCTGTAAAATTGAATAAATACATGGATTTAAATTACAAAGAAATAGATGTTGACTGGACATCAGGAAAATATTCCTAATTGGAAGAACTGTTCAGCAGTAGAACGGACTGTCTTGGAAGGTGGTGAACTCTCCTTTGCTGGAGGCATTTTAAAAGAAGCTTGGTGGTCATCTCTTGGGTTCATTGTAGTAGTAAATTTCTGCACTGGGCAGGGGTTGGACTAGATGATCCTTTCCAACTCTTAGATTTGGAGACTCTGTGCTTGTCCACAGTGCCAGAGGAATTCAGTAGGGGGCAGTTCATAGCTTGTTCCGTTTGTACTCCTATGGTATTAAAAAATTAATACATACATTTTTATATAAATTACCTATTGCCTATAGAATAACACTAGTTCATCAGTGCCTTATTCACTCTATCCTTTTCACTTTTTAAAATAATATTCTGTAATTTCAGGAATTTTCCTGTCAGTACATAACTATCTGAATTGATCAAATATTTCCACTTTAGCAAACATGTAATAATCTTTGGTGACAACAATCCTGATTAAAGCAGATCTGTACATTATTTATTCTTGGGGATTTCATTCTATCCATTATAGCAGCCTTCCCTGACCTGATGCCCCTCAGATATATTGAATTTCAGTTCTCCAAATTCCTATCCAGCAGTACTAGATAGGGATTTGAGGGATTGAAGTCCAACACATCTAGAGGGCACCAAGGTGGCATAGCTCCATTAGAGAAAACTATACTGCCTGTGCTTTCATAAGCCAAAATAAGATCCTTGTGAATCCTATTTACATAATGCTTAAATTCTTCTACATGTGTTTTATGAAATATTTTTTGCACTTAGTTTAATGTTTCTTTTTCAGACGGCTGTCTGGGACAATAGATGTGATTGGGCAGACCATCACAATCAGCCGAGTAGAGGGAAGACGGCGTGCCAACGAGAATAGCAATATTCAGGTTTGTTTAATAAATGAAAAAAAAAATAATAACCTCCACCCCATCCCGAATAAGGTTCCATCTTACATTAGTACAGAAGTTGAAATTACACTATATGTTACAGTAGATATGTAAAAATTTTTAAAAATAAGCAACAAATATGACATGGCAATATCAAGCCATGTATTTATTAATAATATATATTGAATAGAAGAAGTTGGAGGGAACTTCAAAATGAAAGATGAATCTGCTTCTAGTGAAGGAATCTTTCATGAAAGTATGCCATGTGATCGTTGCTGTCTCCAAAGGTGTATGGCCCCCTTTATGCAATGTAGAAATTTCAAAAAGGACAGTGATTTGTGGGACATAGACTAATTTGGTCTTCCTCTCTCAAGTGTTTATTACAAAACTTTGCTTGTCCCCCCCTACCCCCAGCTCTTGATTAATCCATTGAATATAAGAGGAGAAATGCAAATGCTAGTTAGATATAGAAAGCCCCTAAGGGGAGGAAAGTATATTTTCCACTCCTCTTTGTCCAAAGGCAAATATAAAATTGGTTTTATTTATAGGTTCTTTCTGAACGCTCCAGCAGTGATGTAGACAACAGTTTTTCCAAGCCGCCTCCGTTTTTTCCTCCAGGAGCTCCTCCCACCCATCTTCCTCCACCTCCATTCCTTCCACCACCTCCATCAGTCAGTACTGCTCCTCCTCTAATTCCTCCTCCAGGTAAAAAGAAAAGTGGAAAAAAGGGCAGTGTTTCAATTGCAATATATTTTCCTTGCCTGCACCTGAAATTATGATGTTGTGCATCTGTTTATTTAAAATTAGCTATGTTCTTCTCAGCAAAATTCAATTTATTTGGAAACTCTTTAATATTCTATGTGGCTTCTAATAATTGTTTCTCTCAAAGAGTATCTCATTTATGAAGTAGTTTTCACATTTCTCCTCTTTTCCTGAAAGGACATAATTATTTGTGTTCTCTTTTTAAGTAAATGTTTGGGGGGTTTTATTCAGCTGTAATTTGCTTCATATAGAGTTGAACTGACAAAAGTACAAATAAGCTTATTAGACTAGCCATCTTCTGATCACCATCTTAAATTTAAAACAGGACAGTATGAAATTTTTGCTAATTTTGAATCATTTTAGTCCTTGATGAGTAGGTATTGTGCACTGAGGGTATTTGCAGTATGCATTTACTGGTCATTTGTTTCAATTTTAGACAATTCAATCATAATTTTCTTGGTAGACAAATTAATTAAAATATATAATATAAAACAGAAACATCAGCATAACAGAGACAGTAACCTATAGAAACAACAATAAAACAGAGCACTTGAACTTGCAATAAAACAACCAGTAAATTAGTAATATTCAGTAACTCCAAATTGGGTGGGATGTGCCTTCGAAACAAGATACCCGCTTGGTTCCCCAAAGATCATAACGTAGGTGACACCAGGTGAGCCTGTCTAGAGATAGTGTTCTGCAAACAAAGAATCACTACTGAAACCACTTTCTTGTGGTTATCTGGCCTGTTTCATTTGGCCAGGAACACTTGAAGAAGAGCTCCAGATCAATATGGGTGATTTAGTTAATGTCAGTTAGCACACTGAAAGGTAGATTAATGAAATACAGTCTATTTTTCCTTAAGGTTCACACCAACAGTAACATACCTGGTAGCTGAAGTACAATTTTCTGAGAGTTGGCAAATAAGAAAAAATAAAATTTAAGATTATTTCATTTAAAATAAAAGAATCAACATTGTTATAAACAGTTACATAATTTGCTGTACGCTTGGTTTGTGAAGTAAAATAAGCTCTTTAGAATTCATAAAATGAATATTTACATGACAGTAAGCAAGTTTTCATTTGTAGTTAGTATCTGAAACTAAGGTTGGATTACAAACTTTATTACAGGGGAATCAGCTTATTTGAATTTAAGACTGTACTATGATTAAAAGAAATTGTAAAACAGGATAGAGAAGTGCTTGTGGTGAATGGTCAGGAAGAAAACAGCTGAATATTTACTATTTAGAATAAATACAGATATTTAGTCAAAAATTATAATTTTAGAATATTAAAGGATGAATGTTACAGCAACTATAAACCACAGTCTGTCTACAATAATGTGATGACATTTAAATATTGGCATAGCTTGTTTAAAAAGAATTGGTGTATTTGGAAGGTGCTGGCACTGGTACTCTCTAAACAGATAGCTGTGACCCTTCAATTGTTACCCTTGAATGCTTCTTAGGGAGGTTGCCTACGAATAGCCTTGAGATTATTCAGTGTTCTTGCCTGTGTTCTCCCTCCACCCACCTCAATAATTGTATACTTCTTCCCCCAAAATACAGATTAAAATATTACCAATATCTATATTCCATTCTTTGTTATTTATACTCTCTTTCTAAAAACAGTAGGAAACTTTTCCTTCCCATTTCTGACACTTTTGACCATGGCAAGTAGCTTTTGTCATTGTGTGCTTAAAATGTATTCAAGCTACACAAAATGGGAAGGAGCAAACCTGCACACTCAAGCATGTGCACTCAGAGATGAACTTCACTGAATTCATTGCACTTACTTTGTAGCGTTTATATTTAGAATTGTAATTGTCTTTGGCAAACATAATTGCAGAGTTGATACACAATTGTCACATAATTGCACTGGAATCTTGAATTTGAACAATGATATTTGAGGGAGTGCATTTCAGTATAACTACATCTACACTTGTAATTGGTTAATGAAATCTGAGATGAGTTACCTTCATGAAAGTGTGAGGAATGAGAAAATAAAACACTACCCTAAATTTTTCAGAAGGCATGAAGTCAGATTTTCATTGAAGTTCAGTGTTCAAGTCACATCTGCATGTGCTGTAATTCAGTTAAGCACACTGGTGAAAACAGAAGAGAGATGCACAGGTTTATGACATGAGTCTGCCCTGAGGATTTCCTTTTTTATCACTTGTTTCGTACATTTAGAAGTAACTGTGGGGCATAGTAGCTTTGGCTCTTTCAGATTTGTCTTATTTGCACCTCTGCCAACATTTCATCTTCAAAGCACAAACCAAAATTAAAATCTGCCCATTCTTCCTCTGTTGGGGTAGAGAAGTTTCTTGTTAGTTTCTCATTAGCCAATATTAACTGGAACTTCTGCCCAGAAAGTTTTTATATATTCAAATATAAAACATCCTTCTGATGATCCTTTGAAAAGGGATTTTACTTTGAAGTTCTGGTTCTGGGTTCACTTAGCCATTTGTGATACAAATACCTTTGCAGACCAAAAGAATCATTGTTGTTTAAAAATATAAACCTAGAAAACTGACTAACTATTACTGAGGATAGTTGCTGAAACTGAATGGTATAGATAAATGACTAGGCTGTTTTTCAGGATTTATGAACAAAATGGGCAAAACAATTTAATTGACAGGAATTAAATATATTAATAAACTTTTTGCTATTTTACAAATGACATATTTTATAATATGAATGTGGTCTACTGGTCTAATTCCCATTTTCTCAAGTAAAATAAATAGTAAGGGGTCAGGCATTTCAACATTGCTAAAGTTAATTTTATACAAAAGCCATGATTGGTATGATATGTCAATAGGAAGATTATTCTCTTGTTTTCTAAGTTCTTTTACTGAGAACCATATGGCCCAGTTAACATTAACCTGTCATTTTACATTTTGAACTTGCTGTCTTGTCTGTTAACATTGAGGATATAAAGGCACAGGTGGGTTTTTCCATTGGAATGTGCATGTGTATTCTTACAAAGAAGAGAACAATTGATTAAGATGTTATTTAAGCTGATATTTTTAGAGTCACCTTTTTATAACATGTTTATTATTGGTAACATAATTTCCTATCCAGATGATATGGGCTCTAGAATTCAATGCTACATAAATATTGAAAGGTTTTTTAAAAAATATAATCTAATTGTATTGTGACTTCACTATTTAAATGATGTTATCATCTACTCTTGCAGAAAAGATTTAAGGTCATTAATATGGACACAGTGCCAGTACATCTGTTGGGCACACATTTTAACTTGGGTGCATGCAGTAGAGGGTTTTTTTGTTTTTGTTTTTAATTTGCATGGACATGGCCACAAATGATCAGGTTCTGCTGTTTATGTAGATTCACACCCAGAACCTTTCTGGACTGAAGCCAATATGGATTGGTGGTAGCTGAAATTAATTCACTGCCAGTTCTTATTGGTTGTTTAATAATATGTTGTTGGCATGGATGCCATGTGCCTGTTCTGGTAATATGGGAATGAGACAATATAAACTCACTACTGAAATGACTGGGTGCATCTTTTTTGTTTTTAGGTATACCAATAACTGTGCCACCGCCAGGTACATTTATTTATTCTAAAAGTAGCATGAAACTTACTGTGAATTCCTCTTTGGTATAGGGGACATTTGAGAATATCCCACTTTTTAAAAAATGCACTCAGTTTTCTTTGGAGGACATCATTAATACTCAGAATGATTTGAGCTGCCAACTTGCTCAAAATAATTGAAGAATACCTTGGAATATATTAAGTATACAAGATTATAAAAATAAGCTACACAAGCTGTTTAATTTTGGCATTATTCTGTCATTTGTTGCTGCAGAGGTTTACTAAAAGTTGCTGCATTGGTTTACTGCTGGGACACAGCTAATATGCATTAATTTAATTTCGACTTCATTTTCAATTTAAACCAACCTCTTGGTTCTTAATTAAATATTTCAGGCTTTCCTCCCCCACCTGGAGGACCACCGCCTTCCCTTATACCAACTATAGAAAGGTAAATTTTAGTTTGTAGAGTAATCTAACATCATAAGGACCTTCTTTATTTTAATAATTGCTATGATCTGAATTAAAAATACTGTTTAATGTATTTTTGACTGTTTTAATTTCCTTGAACTGGACAAAAGCCTGCTTTATAAGTTTGCGGTTTCAGTGGCCAGTTTGGGGCAGGTAGAAAGAAGAGCAGGACTACTTGGAATAGTTGTAGAGATGAGTGGGTTAAGGACAGGTAGAAATAAAACTATTGGGGACAGCAAGTAAGATTTGAAGTCTGAAGTGAGGTATCAGTTGAGCAATTCTTACATGTTTTGTTTCCCTCTTGTTAGTGAAAAAAGCTTGGAAAAGGACTAAACAAGATAGTAACAGCCTGCCCATATACAGTGGGGCAAAAAAGTATTTAGTCAGCCACCAATTGTGCAAGTTCTCCCACTTAAAAAGATGAGAAAGGCCTGTAATTTTCATCATAGGTATATCTCAACTATGAGAGACAAAATGGGGGGGGGAAATCCAGAAAATCGCATTGTCTGATTTTTATGAGAAAGGCCTGTAATTTTCATCATAGGTATATCTCAACTATGAGAGACAAAATGGGGGGGGGAAATCCAGAAAATCGCATTGTCTGATTTTTAGAGAATTTATTTGCAAATCATGGTGGAAAATAAGTATTTGGTCAATATCAAAAG